TGGGGCTTGATCCCAGGACCCTGGGATCGTGACCTGAGCTGAAGGCAGATGCTTAACCATCTGAGCCACCTAGGTGCCCCTTAGCACCTCTATTCTAAAATGAGACATTTGATCACAGAGTTTAAGTAACTTGCCCAACACCAGCAATAATGATGTATCCAGGATCCGAACCTGAGAGTCAGCTTCCAGGACCCTGAGCTTAAGTTGCTCAAAGCAAAAACAATGGGCAATGGTTCTCTCTAGTATCTTGACCAAAACCTAGATGAGCTTGGAATAATGCATCCTAAGGAAGAAGTGTGTCAGTAAACTTGAGTTCCATTCTAGAATGCAGCCTAATCATGGTCATTGGCCAATGAGATAAATACAGGTAACTATCAAAAAATAGCTTATGACTATCCATCCAACCCTGAAACCAAATCATGAGTTGGATTTTGGAATAACGGGATGGTTAACGATTCTTCTCTACAGCAATAATCAAAGCATCTCAACTGTAGCCACATAACCATTTGGTCAGCAAATTTTTTAAAAAAGAGAATTTTTCTGACAGACACATGGATGAAAAGATACTAAGCAAGATGAAGTCACAAAGACTTACTCCCAATATGGGATCCCAGAATGAATCAGCATGCACTATTGAGAGAGAATTCCAGATCACCTAAGAAACATAACACGAAAGCTACACTCCCCACCCTGCCCAGTCTTACTGGGAGATACTTATTTCTGGGGCTTGTTTATGTCTTCTTTTATATAAAGTGAATTCCAAAAGAATAATAGTAATAATATTAACTATAATGTGGACTCAAACATGAGAACTGCTTTAGAAATTTAAATCCAAATCTCTCATGCTTTTTCCTTATCATCAAATAAGAAATGTTCTCAGTACATAAACAGTATGCCTGAGTCTCTGCCTTTTTTCAGTATTTGACAGAAAGGAGGCATTCCCTCAAGTGATAAAGTCATATTCACTAAGGAGTGATCAGAGGTAAGTTGGCAAAGTCTTGGAAGAGAAGGAATAGAGCTCCTTAGAACCAAGCCTGGTGATGTTGAGAGGAAACTCCAAGGATGCCAAGAGGAAGGTTTCCAGCAGCAGAGCAAGTGAAACAGCAGGAAGCCAGGAAGCATTAGCTCCATAAAGAGGAGACAAGTGTGAATTAGAGAAGAGGCTTGCAGTCTACTACCATTTAAGTGCTTACTAGTATGAGAGCTAAAAACTCTTCAGAATGAATAAATGGGTTAAATACAATGAGGATTACCATTTAAGTGGAGCATTCTAACTTTGCTTCAGATCATGGGAATTCTACAAAATCACAAAGGAGAGAATTAGCTGAACAAAATAGTTTAATTTAATGGGAAATTTATTTCAGAAGGGGAGCTAAGGAAAATTTCTGGAGTTAAGTAATGACATTTAGAATTAGGAGACGTTTATGTAAAAGCAATGTCCAAGAATAAAGTTAAGTAATAAGAATTTTCAGAAAGACCTAGAAAAATCTGCGAGAGAGACCTGAGGCACTTTGGAAAGAAGAACAAAGAAAAATGTAAGCTCTCTCTATATAGGAAATAATTAGAATAGAGTTTGACCTAAATTAAAGGAAAATACTACACATATCTGAGTATAAACATAGGAACACACACACACACACACACACACACACTCTTTCCTACCTTAGAAATCCCCCCAAAGACTAAGATCAAAATGTTACTTCTGTTTCTTTTCTAGTCTAATTAAACATGAAATGGTGCCTATTGCCTGTTATCAGTTTATGCATATTATGGGTTAAATAGAAAAATTAATATTAATTGAGGGTGTCACTTCCCTGCCACATTTATTTGACCAATTCAGAGGAATAGTGATTATAAAAACAAGGCAGCACTCCAAATTATATACTGAATCATATAGGCTCATCTGAGGGGAAAAGCCAAAGCCTTAACTGGTGTTCCCATAAAAAGATACTCTTATAAACTCTAAAATTTAAGCCTCATTCCAGAAATTATATACCAAAGCATTTCCTCAGAATATGAACCCCTTTTAAACTGTAAAAAGAAAATTCATAAGATGAAAAAATAAAACCTTCCAATCATAAAATTTCCTCAAAAACCTCCATTACATTTTTAATTCTTTACTGATCTGATTTTTTTTTAAACCAAGTTGAGTAGTTGGAATTGTCTTTTTAATTTAAATTTCATAAGAAAGAGAATCACAATGCACATTCCCTGACCAGATTGTGTGTGGCCTATTTATTCGAAATGTTTGATTCCATATGGATTTCTTCTCTTTTATTTATAACTTCCAGAAAGGATTCTCTGTAATAAGTTAGCAACTCAAGGGCAACCAATTTGAAATCCAGGTCCTGAGAGCACTGTACCTGAGGTCTGCCACCTGCAATGTTTTCTAGAAGGACAAGGGAAGGCACACAAAGCTCGAACTTCGGTGTGGAGCATGAACCAAGTGTGAGCCACAAGTGGGTGGTCCACTGAGGTCAGGGTTAAAGTTCACAGAATAATTTGGAAATTATTCTCAGCTTGGATCTCGTTTATGAGGCCTGAGAATACACCCTTTAATTAGAATACAATTTCCAAAGCAACCACTCCCTTGACTTTCCAGAGCTCAGTTATTCTCAGAAAAGTAAAAACAGCCTCATCACTCTGACAGCTAACAGTCCCCTATAAATTACGCCTTAAATGTCCAACAAAGAAAGCAGCAGGCGTCTGGGACAACGTAGATGTTAGCTGCCAGCCTTCTAACCACGCTCCAGAATAGATAGAGAAAGAGAAGTCCTATTAAAGCAGACTCATTCTCCTCCACTTCTTGCTTATGCAGCTGAGCCGTCCCATGGAAGCTCGGAAAAAGAGTGGGCTGTGCATTTGAAAATGTTCCCACACCCCGGCCGGCCTCATTTTTCTGATGATCCCTTCATCCAGCCAACCTCACACTACAGTGGGAACACTAAAATCAATTCCATGAGAGCCAGCTGCCCGCCCCTTCCCCAGTGCTCGGGGAACCACACAGGACTCCTGGAATGGGAGCCAGCCCGGGCCTGACTCACCACAGATGTTCCCCTCCTCCCCCACACAACTCTGAGCCAGGGCCTTCTTTCCAGGGCCTATTGTTATTACAAAAGATTTTACTGGACCCCCCAAAATATGCTAGATGCCGAGAGGAAAACACACCTCCCTAATAGTGGGGTTAAGAAAGACAGGCGGTGAATTATGCAGAGACGACCACCTACTCTATGGGGAAGGCCAAAGAAGAAAATCCAGACAGCTCTGGGGAGGCCAGTGTCAGGGAGTTGGAACAGCAGAAGCTATCAGAGTGTCAGACCTTGAAGTGCTAGCCAGACTTGAGTGGAGTCTAAAGATGACCTAAATCATTCCGTTCTGGCAAATCCAGATATCAGATTTTTCTGGAGACGCAACAAAGTCGCCTTTGCCTAGAAAAGTGTGACCCGGAAGAAGACAAAAATACAGTTTCTGAAATCTGTAATCAGAACTCAGAGTCCGAGGTCACCCGCAAATATTCGGAAATTCTTGCCAGCTACCTTTTGGGCAGGCATGGCATTGCTATCTTTGGCCTTTCTCTTCTGGATATCCATTTGACTATCCGTTTCCCAGCAGCCTTCCCACAGGGGGTCATAATGCTCCATCTCTGCGTTCGTTCAGTGCGTGTTAGTAAAACTAGACAGTGGCTCCCAGATGCTCCCGTGTCCCATGGTACAGGTTGAACCATCCTTATCTCAAAAGAAACTATTTCATGCAATTTACAATATTTTTTTTTTTAATCACTGCCCACTTAACCAGTTTAACAATAGGGAGAAAAATTCATTTTAAATCCTTTCCCTTTAATGGTATGAATTCTGTAACTAAGATGGAGCTTCACCAAACAGTATAGTAATAATCTTTATACTTACATGCTTACTAGAGAGAATAATTCATTCTTTGAACCTACCAGGGGGAAGCTCCAGGTCTACAGAACCTGATGCAGAATCAGCTTTTTTTTTGAAGATTTTTATTTATTTATTTGACAGAGAGAGACACACAGAGAGAGGGAACACAAGCAGGGGGAGTGGGAGAGGGAGGAGCAGGCTTCCCGCTGAGCAGGGAGCCCGATGTGGGGCTCGATCCCAGGACCCTGGGACCATCACCTGAGCCGAAGGCAGATGCTTACCGACTGAGGCACCCAGGCGTCCCCAGAATCAGCATTTTGAATAGCACCCCAGTGACACTGCTGTTGCCAGGCATTCCCACAGTTAAATGAAAACATACCAAAGCTTTTGTATATATTCTACAGAGCACTTTCAGGGAGAGGAAGAGAATAAAAGGAAACCAAGTAGTGCTAAAAGTGTTAATTGTAAAAAAACGAAAAAATGAAAAAATAAAAAACAACAGTTTGGAATCATTTGACTACAAGAACAGGGACCAGAACAGTATCAACCTTCAAAGTACTGTTTATTGTCCTTTTGCTCTGTCTTTATCTTTTTAGTTTCACAGTCCACTCAGAATTGTATGACTTCTACTTCATCAATGCTCAAGAAGGAATTAAGTTTAGGGGCACCTGGGTGGCTCAGATGGATAAGTGTCTGCCTTCGGCTCAGGTCATGATCTACAGGTCCTGGGATCGAGCCCCACGTCGGGCTCCCTGCTCAGCGGGGAGTCTGCTTCTCCCTCTCCCACTGCCCCTATTTGTGCTCTGTCTCTTTCTCACAAATGAATAAATAAAATCTTAAAAAAAAAAAAAAGAAGGAATTAAGTTTAACTATATCTCTATGAGAATAAAGTCCAAAATTTACAGGTCAATTCTTCTTTAAAAAAAAAAAAAGGGATGAAAATGGACAGACAGTATTACTTATATCCTAGCTCTACATTTTAAAATATTCATGAATATACTTTCAGATAAACTCTGTTGATTTATAGATTTCTGGGAGAATTATATGGAACAATTAACTGAAAGCATATTATCATAGCCATATACCCAAATCACTCCAATTTTCTCTAAAAATACTCACTTCGGATGAGTTCGTCATCTGAACAGTTTCCCCAAATGGACTGGTCTTGCATCTCTCCATGTGTGAAGCAGCTATCGGTAGCTTGAGTTATATTTCTCTCAGTATTTTCTTTATCACATTTTTCTAAATAAAACAAAAGATATATTATTATTAAATGTTACATATTTTTCTATTCTTTTTTTTTTTTTTAAAGATTTTATTTATTTATTTGAGAGAGAGAGAATGAGAGACAGAGAGCACGAGAGGGAAGAGGGTCAGAGGGAGAAGCTCGGCAGGGAGTCTGATGTGGGACTCGATCCCGGGACTCCAGGATCATGACCTGAGCCGAAGGCAGTCGCTTAACCAACTGAGCCACCCAGGCGCCCTATTTTTCTATTCTTTTTTAAGGTTTTTTTTTTTTTCCCCAAATGCCTCCAAGTCTGCCATAACTTAAGAAAATGGGAGCAGTATCTCTATTGACTGTTGCATAGGTTATTGAAGCAGTAACAGATTTACTGAGCACCTACTACGTGACCAGCATCGAAGAAACAGACATGCATACAACAAAAATAACCTGTTAAGATTATTAAGTAAGTCATCGTAACACACCAAGTGGTCTGCCATGACAGAGTCATGTGCAAAGGTCACATACAAGATGAAAGTGAGTCTGTACATGTAGGGGGCGGGCGTGGAAGGGAAGCTCCAAAGGAGAAGAGACCCCACTGAACGGTTGGGCTAAAAGTCAGACTGCAGTTGAATAAGGAGTGACTGAGAAGTGAGAAGGCGTAGAAAGCAAGTGCAGAGTTCTCTCTGTGGAAACTCGGGAAAGAGGCAACGACTGTGTTACGCATTCTCAGAAAGGGAGGCTACTGAGGATGGGAGATTTATACATGGGTTTATGGGTCCTCAGGGGGAAAGTCAGTAAGGAAAAGTAACATCTTACCGGGAACATAGTAACTCAAAGAAAAAGCTAACTGTAACACAAGGTAAAATCCATGTCATCAGAGGTCCAGAGCACTGAAGAGGTTTGAAGGAAGAAAAAGAAACTCATCCCAATTCAGAACTCAAGAAAAGCACTAGAGAGAAAGGTGCATGTTGGATGGTCTTTAAAACATTCGCAGGAATTCTCAAAGCAGAGATGGGAGAAAGGCAATGCCTGGTAGAAGAACGGCGTGGGCAAACTCTGCAAGCAAAGGTTCCAACACTCTGGAGTGTGAAATACTTCAAGGGTGACATTAGGAGATAAGACTGTAAAGGTTTGATTAGGGACACAGCATGGATATCTGAATGAGAAGGTGAGAAATCTGGACCGAATTTAAAGGCAAGACAAGTGAGTCAAAGTAGCCACTGAAGCTTTATGAAATGCCTTATCGGAGCCAAGCATTAGGAAGATTAATACATTCGTACAAAGCAGTGTCTCAATCCTGACAGTGTTTTAACTCACTTGGGGGGCTTTAAAAAACAAAACAAAACAAAACAAAAACAGATTCCTGGGCCCCACCACCAAAGATTCTATTTCAATTTGGGTGTGGGGCACTTAGGTAATATTATTGCACTTAACATCATTGAGAATCACTGGAGTATGAATGTACCTAAGAGGGAGAAGAGAGTAAGGGAAACCAAAAGAGAGACTTAGAAGAGTCCAGTTTAATCAGAGTTTAATCAACTGAATGACAAGATGGGAAAGGGGGTAGATGTGAAAATCTAACTAGAGCTCTGCACAGATAATCAGGGAAGATGGGACTGGAGATGATAGAGCCCTCTCGGTCAAGGATTTGACTGGGAAAACCTGGAGACCAGAATAATTTATTAGTTTAAAAAATATATATTTGTACATAGTAGATGTTTAGGCTTTGTGCTAGGCAATAAGGATGCAATGAATTGTGAGATGTGGCTCAGGCCTTCATGGACTTTACAGTTTAGTGGATGAGTTTATTGTTGCACATCTGAATTTGCAAATCATAAATAAATCAAGTTATAGCTGGAAACAGTGATCTTCCTAAACTTGACTGCTAAAGCCATTTAAATGAACGGGCCCATCAAAAGAGTTAATACATTAAAATAAGAGTACCAAGAGGGGTCTGTACAATTAGAAAGGAGTCAGAGAAGGACGAGAAGCTGGATGATGTCAAGCCATGGAAGCAAGGAAAGGAAAGAGATTCAAACAGAAGTTGTTAGTCAACTGTGTTAACATTTCCAGTGGAAGGAAAAAATTTCTGCACATGCAAAAGTTTCTCATGTACCATGGGGATTTCACAACAATTGAAAAGTTCTGCCATGAAACACATTTCAACACATGAAAATAGATGGACACCCTCTTAGGAAACTAAATCCAGAGGCTAAAGTCTCTGAAAAAAAGCAGGGTCTTCAATGCTAAGTATTTTCAGAAAGCAAAACCATATTCAGATAGCAGTAAAATATAAATCAGAAGCATGCTAAACCAATATGTTCTAGAAGATTTATGTAACATTTACTCAGCATTATCCGAGAGAAAACGTAATCTTCCTGAGAGGTGTTAGTTTCAATTAAAATCTTTACTTTTTTAAACAACTCCAGAAATCTTTCCACTGTTACAGTCAACTCAAGGCCTTTCTGAGATTATCAACAAAAGAGCTTTTTATAAAAACTCCCTAGACTAGCTCAGCAGCAGAGTCCCACGTACTTGCAGCTACTGTTATGTAGCCAACTGCCGCCAGGTGTCATGCTAGTAGGCTTGATTCAATTAGTAACTTTAATTGAAGCTGAATGAAATTAATTATATAATTTTGAGCTGTTCAAGCTTAATTCCATTAAAATTAATTCATGAAACCAGGGCATTATGAAGCATTGCTGACTAAAAGAAAATAGGTATGAATAAAGCCTCTAGACACACCTGACTCACATTTGAATCATGTCCAATATTCAAGTGCTCAACATAGGCCCTCTAGACTCTGCACTGAATAAATGAAAATGTCATGTGGTCCGTATGCACACGCATCTAGTGGTGACCCACTAGTAAGGGGAACATAAAGTTCCTTCTGCTTTAAATTTTATTAAGGAACAGTTTCACTTTTTTTTTTTAATTTCCTTATCTGTGAAATTCTAGAGTTAGTCTTCCTCAAGTTAAAAAACAAAAACTACCATTCTCTGTCCCATATATTCAAGAAATAATCAATAAAATGTAATTACTCTCAAATCACAATCATCAGTCTCTCCAACTTTGCCTGCTTTGAAAAGTAAATGTCTTGGCCCAAAAGTTGGTCTCAGCTTTTTGCTATGACCCACAGCACCCAGCCCAAAGCAAAGCTGAGAAAAAGTTCAAAGTATAAAAATCAAGTTGACTTTTGTCAATTCTCCACGTCTATAAACTAAACTTCTATGACCACTTGAGTGTTGTACAACTTTCTAACATATCTATATTATTTTATTAACATATCTGTAATATTTAATGGAATACCTATATGGCAGCCTCATAAACGGTGCACAATTACATCTTCCACTGAAGAAATGCATGGAGGCAGAGGAAGAGTTAATTGGTAGACAACTGTAAGATGAGCACCACAATGTCCAGCCACAGAACCAACTTTACTACAACTTTCAATACCTTGGGTGAGCCACTACTCATTAAGATGACCAACAGGCAGTTTCTAATAGCAGATTTCTAGGATCAATATGGGTTTATGGTGTTACTTCTGAACTGCAGAAGCAGGGCCACAGTCCTGGTTTCATCACTTCCTTGCTGGGTTTACAAAGGTTTGTAGTTGCTATTCAACTAGTATGTGGTCCCCAAAGAGATAGCCCATAGATAATCAAGTAACTTCATGATGCATGAGATCAGTCTGTACCTTCCTACAAGAATTCTGTACACACATGCAAGCAGCACTCCTCCCTAACTTAACAATTTCTCTCTTAAAAGGAGACCTCCATCGGCTCAATAATGCCGTTCTTCTAAGCCAGTGGTTCTCTACTGCAGAGCTCTTTAACCATCAAGATGCACAGGTCCCAACCTCAGAGGTCCCAATTCAGGGGATATGGGAGGAGTTTTGTCATCATCATAGATAGCCAGGTATGAGGGATTCTGCTCTAAGTTCTTCTGTTCTACACAATTTAGAGAAAACTTAGAGGAGAGCCTATCCAACACGGAGATACACATCTTGCTTTGCATCACCTCATCACAGGATTCCAAGTTATGAGAAAATGCAATTTGACCTCATCACTCATATAGAGGGATTTAGTTCTGTCTCCGTGCCAGAACTATGAGAATACAAAACCCGAGTTATAGATAACACTTATCAATTCTACTAATAGATGACTATAGAAGCATGTTTTAGAAACTAAAATAAAAACTGAAGACACTTTAAAAAGATAGCACTAGACCAGAGAATAACTGCCTACTCCTGGCAGCCACTTCCAAAAGGCTGTTTTCCCAAGAATTCTAGTTACTCTGAATACAGAAGTACAGAAGAATCTTTGGCTGGGGTGGTGCGGGGAACCCCAACAACAACCAAAAACCTTAGTCCCTGACAAAAAAAAATCTTCTAGCTGTGGAGACCCAACATACACACAAAACAAGAAACCACAAAACTGAACGTAATAAAAACTGCACTGGGTTGTAATTCTGACTCAGAAACTAACCAGCCGTGTGGCTGGGGCTCATTTTCTTCAACCAGAAGTGAGGGCATTGAGCTGGATGGTTGCAGAGGCTTTTGACTCTAAAATTCTGTAAATCTGACTCTGCAAAAGGGCTAACCAATAGAGCCAAAACTTCATATACACATTGAAGGGCATTCAGAATGGAGTGGAAGAAATCAAAGAAAAGCCTTTGTAAGGCACTGGATTTGAGTTAATTCTCAAAGAAAATAACAAGCATGAATTAAGCAAAAGAATCAAAGGAAAATAATAATTCTAAGCGATCAATTTACATACAATATGTCCTATGCAGAAATGACTACCTTATAGGATCAATACACTTTATTTTTTGTTATTTTTCTAAAGAAAGGTATGGATGGTCAGAAGCAATCTCTCTCTAATCTCAATCATTCCTACTGAAGAAGAAGGAGAAAGAACCAGGTAAATAGAATTTCCAATTAATTAAAAATTCTGTAATATTTTACCTAGTTGACATTATTCAAATTTAAAACTTTGAGAATGAGAATTTCACTTAT